AGGGGGGAGGGAATACCTCGCTCTCCATGAGAGAGATGGGTTGTGAGGTGGAAGTAGTAGTAGAGGAAGAAGAAGAAGAAGAAGAAAAAGAAGTAACAGAGTTCACCCCATCCTCCCCAAGAACCCCAAAGCGGTTATTCATTGACACCCGAAAGATGGGTACCACAGTTTTAGGAGGAACCTTTTGGTGTTTCTCTGCAGTAAGTCGCTTGTTGACCGCGGGTTCTGGGTGGGTCGACAGTGGAAGCACATGCCGACTTCGTGATTGGCCGGAGTACGCTTGCGTATGACCGGACAGGGACTGGGGTCATACCTGGCGGGCAGACAGTTTTACGGGCTTCTTGAAAAGAGCAGCCATTTCGTGCTTTATACTCTTGGATTGCGCCTTCTTTGATCCAAGTCGGGCAATCCTTGCTGAAGGCTGTGTGCTGGCCTTGGCAATTTGGGCAGCAAGGACTAGCCTTGCATTCCTTTTCAGGATGCCCAGTCTTGCCGCAGCGAGGACACACGGCTGCACGTCGGCATCACGACTGACTATGGCCAAACTTCTGACACTGAAAGCAACGTAGAGGGTTTAGCACATAGGGTCGCACGTCCAAGACTAAGTATGTTGCACGAACGGTGGCTGGAGGGCGGCACGAATCAAAAGTTAGAATTATTGTATTCGTTTCTAGTGTGGACTCGGCGACTGTAGTAATTCGGCGGGCTTCGACCACACCCTCACAGTTATCCACAATGTCTTTGTTTGAGCAGCCCTTCAGCTCATGGCTGCGGACCACGCCCTTCGACTGGTTAAACTTCTGGTGTCGCTCGGAAATACAAAGAACACCACCGATGGTCGTAATCTTTTCAAGTCCCGCTAGTTCTTTATCCGATGCGCACTTGATGAGGAGAGCACCAGAGGACAGTTTCTGGACATTCGTAAGAATGTATCCCAGAACCTGTCTTAGAGCATCTCCTGTCTTGAATATGTTTAGATCAGTGATCTTCTTCTGCGCATCGGTGCTGCGGATGGTCAAGTACGGCTGCCGCGGAAGCTCCCTGAGAGGTGGGAGGGTACAGGCAGATGTAAAAGTCCTTTTTCCTTTAGGAGTTTGTTTGCTCGGCTCCGCGGCCGCACCCACTTCCGCGAGCCGAGACTTTTTGGCAATGTTGGGAGTTGACGAAGGGTTTTTAAGTGATGAGGAATCCATGAGAGTTTTTTAGGTGGTCCAACTCCGGGGCTCCCCGCCCGCCATCGAACCAACAAGGGGACACATTGCTCGGATGACCAGAGCTGTGCCAGGGTTACACCAGAGCTATACTCTTCACGAGAAAGTACAAGACCCTCCCGTCAAGATTGACCCAGGGCTTGATGTTGTTTCAACTCCCAACCGATTGAGTGGCATGGGCCGTGCCACCCTCCCGTCTAAGAGGAAAACCTGGGCGAAAGAGGAGTGTGGGTGAGGGACAGTCCGTAGACTGATCTCACCTCAACCGCCAGGTACTCGGTTTCCCTCCGCACGGGTCGCACCTCAAGGTCAACGAGGCGCCCACTCTGTGGGATGGGTGACCTCTCTTTTGCTGCACATGAGGTCAGCGGTGGGAGGAAAGATAGAAGAGGAAAGAAAGAAGGAAGGAGA